AAAAAAAAAAAAAAAAAAAAGAAAGAAAGAAATTCATCATCTGAACCCTGAGGATTAATGGAGTCGGAAGGCGAACTGCGCTGAATGGAAATCCATCTTCACCCGTGCCAGTGTCAGGGCTGCCGCTCCGGCCCTTGACAAATCGAGGGTCCCAGGGTACGATAAATCCAGCAGCTGTGCTCGTCCCCAGGGATGTCCCTGGCCCACTCGAGGACATGGGCTGTGCCTGCCAGTGGCACTGGACGAGGAAGCCGCCTTTCCCCCTGTGGACACCAGCTCCCCATCCCCAGGAGCTGCCACCGCAGCTTCTTTGGCACCCCTGGAAGTCTGCTTTCTGCAAGGGTGCTGTGCCATCACCCAGGGATGTGCCCCCCACCCCTTCAGCTCAGCCTCACCCACACCCCCACCTGCTTCCTCACCATCCCTGTCCCCCTTCTTTTTTCCCCCTTTTTTTTTATCTTTTTCAGTATAAGCTCCAATCACACGTCAAATTTATTTTAGTTAAACGTTGCTGCTTGTCCCTTTGGGTCAGTAGAAAACTGCAGAGTAATGCAAAATGACACTAATTACTACATTTAACTGCAAAAAAGAGTTAGTCAGTTATGTTGTAAAAGCACCTGAAATATAATTAAAACGAATTGCTACCAATGCAAGAGGGAGCTGCCAGCTTCGTGGTCGAGAAGCAGGTTGGAGCTGAGGCAGTTTTTGGCTTCACTAGGATCTGCGTTGCATGGGCTTAAGAGAAAATCCAGGCACTGGGAATTCTGCTGCTATCAGCCAAGCCCAGCTATTCAGTGTTAAGAGTTTTCCTGGTTTTCCTCGTTTTTTTTTTTTGTTTTTTTTTTTTTACCAGCCTTAAGCAAGGTTGCAGAGGGAGCTGAAAGCTGCCAGGCTGCCCTCGGGCCAGGGAAGAGCTCGGGTCAAACTTGATTCCGTCTTGGCAGAGTAAATCGGGGTTGAAAAAATAGTTGCTAGCGGACATATGGGTTAGAAATAACAGTGGTGTGCCATTGCCGTGGGCACAGGCGTGTGCCCCTGGAGCTGGTGCTTGGGAAAAGTCTGGCCAGCAGCTAAAAAACATCCAAAAGAGGAGAAATGACGGATGAAAGCAGGGAGCGAGGCAGTACTGACACTGTCCTGCCCGGCACGTGCTGCCTGTGGAGCCCTGGGAGGTTCAGGGGCAGGTTTATAAATGTTTTAAATTATAAATACATTATAAATTCTAGGTACAAAAGCAGGCAGGGAAGGCTTTCCCAGGCAGCACTTTGGGGCTCTCTGTGGTGCTGCAGTAGCCCATCCAGGGTCAGTCTCCGGTCCTGGATGTGAAGGAGCGTTAGACGAACTGCACGCAGGCGCCCTGTGCATCATCCCAGATGATGCTCTCCAAACCGCCCAGGCTCTGGGGCCATGGTTGCACCAGTAAAACCCTCTCTCAGGACTTCTGGCTCTTCATTGCTTTTACTCTGCCTTTTCTCTTTTCCTTGCACTGTTAAATCTAAAGGCAAGTAATACATTGAGTACCGAACACTGCCCCGAAAAATTATCTGCTCCGCCTGGCCAGGTGCTGAGATGGCATTTCTTGCCTCTGGCACATGCGTGGGAAGCTGCCAGCTACAGCACCGCTCCAGAAAACACCCATCACCGCTGCCTCGGGTCAGGATCCCCAGGCTAACCCTTCCCTTTCTCCCTCCAGCTGCCGCCTGCGAGTTTTTGGACATCGTGGAGCTGTTGCTGAAGTCGGGAGCCGACCCCACGCTCCGGGACCAGGAGGGCTGCCTGCCGGAGGAGGTGACAGACTGTAAAGCCATCACTTCGGCTCTGCAGCAGCACACCGCCGGCAAGACCTAACCCCGCGGCGACGCGCGGCAGGGAGGACAGAGACGCTCTGCAATAACACCCCTTCTTTTCCCCCGTTGCCCTCCGAAACGCCTTGGGGGTTCGAAGGGGAGCTTTTAGAGCACAGGGTCTGGGTGGGCTCTCCAGCACGAGGGCTGGCCGGCCGAGCACATATCCTGGGCAGGACGGGATCAGGGTTTTGCATGCTCTGACATTTTGGGGGGCGGGGAGGGAGCGAGGGAGGGGAGAGAGGGCCTGGAGAAAGCCCCAAGTATCATTTTAATGTATTAAACACAAATACCGCATCAGATGTCTCACTGGAGCAGCCTGTGCTGACTGGTCTGCTCCTCCGTGGGGTGGAGAGGGTGGCTGGACCAGGTGAGATGCTCGGCTGTCCTTTTCGGGTTGAGTTTTGGGTTTGTTTTGTTTTTTTTTTTTCCCTGGGTCCAAACAAAGTATTATAAATAAAAGAAAAGCACAGTGTTGGGATGGAGCCTCTGTGCATTTGTCTTGCGGGGAGTGACTTCAGTCCTTGGAAGCAATGAGGATGGGAGGCAGCCCTTGGAAAGCTGTCGTAGCCCTTGGAAAGCTCTGTTCAAGCTCTCGTCCTGGAGAGAGGGCTACAAAAGACAGCAGGGTTGTACAGCTGTCTGTCCATCCCTCTAGTTCTCACCTAACATATGTAAGACAAGTGCTTTATGGCTTACCAACCTCTCCAAGCTGACAGGACTTTTACCACATCTCACAACCGTTTTGCTGAATTAAATGGCATTAAATTCCAGCTCCATCAGGACCATCCAGGTCCTCCTGTCACGTGCCGGTCCCCGGGGTGGCTCGTTCAGGGATGAGGTTTTTTAAGAGCCCGGGCATGGACGTAAACCTGCGCTCAGCCTGTCACCCCTGTGGGCCTGCCTTGGACGCTTCATGGTCCTCTCAGCTGGCCAAATACCCAGAAAAATGGGAAATCTATGGCGACACCTCAGGTGCTAGAGTGAGGTCGGATGGGTGCGAGGCTTTCCGCGTCCTCATTGGGATCCCTACTGGGCTGTGCCGGTGGGTCGGCCGTGACCCAGGGGAGCTGCTGGGAATGGGTTTGTGCTTTGGGCTCGCTGCTGGCTGGGAGGGAGGCTGCTGCGGCGGGGTGGGTGTGCACGGCAAGAGACGACCGTGGCTTCCCTGTGGGGCAGTGTCATGCCACTTGCTTTTCCCCAGACAAGGAGATTTGCAGCCTGGTGGGAGCGTAGGAAATCTCCATCGCTGTGACAGGAAGGTACTTGCCATCGAGTCCTTGCTGCAGCACATCCAGCCTCAGGAAAATAAATGGGAACGTTCCCTCCCCTAAGGACTGGCTGGGCTGGAAGCACACGTGGATTTTGGCCCCTCACGGCGGCTCCCGACTCCTGCCAGCTTTTGCTAACACTGGCAAAGTTTGCTGCACTGGCTTGGATGCTGCCAGCAGCCGAAACACCACCGCGGCGTGGTTCGCATGCGCAAAGCGTGGGGCAGGCTCGGCGGTGGGGAAGAAATGGCTCGGGCAAGTTGATGAGCTGTACGGGCCCTTATATTGGCCACGTCAGCTGATTTTCCATTAACTTAATATTGGAGGGGGTTTGATGGGCAGGGGAGCTGCGGTGATGGTCTCCATATTTTTGGGAAAAAAAAGTCCCTTCAGGGTTTTTTTTCTGAAGTCAGTAGGAAACTTGAGCCCAAAGCCTCCTCCCTTTGAGCTTCCCAAAGAAACTGCCTTCCTAGCTGGAGCACGGATGGCAAAAATGAAATACATCTTGTTTATCTGTCTGCAGCCCCTCTGCGTTGGGGGATGCTTTTGCTGCCCAGTTGTGACATGGGGCTGGTGAAACGAGCAGGCAGGTTGGGCGCCTGGATGCAGAGATGCATGAAGCAAGCTGCTGATAAACATTAAAAGCTGTGCAGCAAATGCCAGATTTCAACATTTGGGGTCCCTGCAAGTCCCTGAGGGGGTGATGCTTATTCGATGGAAGCGATGCAACAGCCCCCAGACCCTTGAGCAAGGACCCGCGATGGCTTCTGCTCTCCTTCACCCTGCCAAGGGGACCCACAGGCTGGTCTCATCGCAGCCACAGCGCGCGGGGATCAAAATGCAATGGGTGCTGTGGGTGCCGACAGCAACGCCAGTCGTTTTTGCACCCGGATGAAGCGAAGATGCCACTACCCCCCCACACACACACACTGTTGGGGTGCTACACACAGAGCTGCTCCGCTGGTTTCGGGATGGGGCCATAGTAGCATCAAGGTTAAGGACAAGGCCACCCTTACGTAGCGCCACAATGCACAGCCACCGCCTGGCTTGATGGACACGCTGGGTAATAAAATAAAAAAAAATTAAAAAAATAAAAATCTCTCTTAAAACAGGGATGAAAAGCAGCAGCCGCGATGCCCATGCTTTCAGCGAGCACATTTGGGGGG